CATCTCTGCGCCGGGAGTGACGGATGATCCGACACTCTCGGCGCAGAGATGGGGGGCCTGCTGGCCGCTGGGTACCGATCCGGCGCTGGGACTGTGCTGGGCCACCTAGAAGCCCGAGGCCCTGGTGCGTCCGCACCACCTGCACTGGCGGTAGTTCCGCCACTGGTTTCAGTATCCCTTTTAGAGCCACCTTCACATCTTTATCTTTTAGGTCAGTGGTTCTCAACCTGTGTAACCTCAAGATCCTCATTTGTCCTTGGTAATTAAGTCATGACCCAAGTCGCACTGCACTGGAACACATAGCATTGTGGTACTGTGGTTTCTGGTGCAGGTGATCAAACTGTGGGCGGGAGGTGTATTTGGGGTGAAATTCAAATAAATTGCAATGTACTACACCTCCCCCACCAGAACGTGCAGTAGGTGTGATTACGTAGTACAGGGGTTTGCAACTTAGCTTTGCCTTCTACTTTAAAGGATAATTAAACCCTCCAGTTTTTTTGCATATATCTACTGCCAGAAAGCAGTAGATATATGCAAAAACTTAAAAAAAAAAAAAAAAACTCTTTAAAAGAGATGTCTTTGCCGCACGCTCCCATCCGAAAATATGAAAAATCTTGGGTGGCCACAAGGGATCTTGAGGTGGGTGCATGCGCAGTTCACATTTTCAGCTGGGAGATGAGGAGAGACACAAGGTAAGTCTATGGACAGCATGCACCCGCATGCAGACACCGTGGGACATGAGAGATGAGGAGGACAGAGGAGTCAGCGCTGGATCGGAAACTCGCAGCAGCGCTGGAGGGACAGCTGAAAAGGACAGGAAAGAAGAAGAAATCGGATTAAGAGACATCATTTAAGGTAAGTGCTTAAACTAACATTGGTGGGAGGGAAAAAAATATACTTTAATGTCTACGGTTTATAGAACTTATTCATTCTATGTATAGTATTCAATTTGCCTTTATAATGGCCCTACTTTTGGGTTGCAATGGGTTATGGTATTACATACTTGTGTCTTTTTGTCCCCTTTCACAAGGAGGCAAGTTTAATTAGACAAAAAAAGTGAATATACTTAGTCACACCATCAGATGTGTCAGAGCTCATATCCTTTATTTCAGCGTGTATCCTTAGCGGGTATACATTTCTGTTGTTGCGCTGAACATTTATCTTACAATCAATGGAAAACATGACAGCTGTAGCAGTATGCAAACCGTACCACCTCTAATGCCACTGAATGTAAATAGCAGCAACAGTTCATTGTCACTGTGTATTTGCCCAGCTTATCCAAAGCGATAGGGCTTAAAGTCCATTTCCACCTTAGTAAGTGATTAGCATGTATTGTGGTAATGAAGAGGTGCAGTGATGATGTATACATGTGCACATTTTCATGCCTCACATTTTAGGCTTTCTTCGCATTTTTTATAAACCTTTTATTTGGCCTTAAGCCCAAAATTTTCTCCACAGGAAAATCAGTCAGACACCAGGTTTGGATGGTAATTAGACTTTAAACAGCTCTCCCCTTCCCTGTTATTCATTGTAAAATGATCAGTAAATAGCAGCTCTGCCTTTGCACACAATTAGTGGAGGCACCAATACTAGTATCGGTATCATTGCCGTTACCGAGTATCTGGGTATTCATACTCGCCCAAATGCTCCGATACCCCTGATACCGGAACTTCCGGTATCAGGAACCCGGGCAGCGAGTCAATACAGGCTGCCCTCCTTCCTAATTGGCTGGGAAGTCGGGTCCATGCTCTCTCGTCACTTGGTGATGAGGGCGCATGGAGCCGTCTCCCCAGCCAATCAGGAAGCCAGGCAGCGTGTAATGACTCGCTGCCTAGCTTCCTGATTGGTCAGGAAGCCGGGCAATCAGAAAGCCGGATGGCGAGTCATTATCCACCCCTCAGTCAATCAGAAAGCCGGCTTCGTGCACCCTCGTCACTTGGCTTCCTTAATGGGACTTTCGGTATCGGTATTCGGTATCAGCGAGTGTCGAAATATAAATATCGGTACTCGTACTCGATACAGTGCATTGCTGCGAAGGCACATGGAGCCATCTTCCCAGCCAAACAGGAAGCTGGGCGGCGGGTAATGACTCCCCGCCCAGCTTCCTTATTGGCCGGGATGACGGCTCCATGCTGTTTGGCCGGCTTGATGCTGGATGGCCGGGAAGCCACTCCGGCCAATCAGCATTGAGCCAGCCTGTAACAGCATGGAGCTGTGTCATTACCCGCTGCCCGGCTTCTTTAATGTGCGGGATGCCAGCTCCATGCTAATGGAAGTACCAGTATCGGTACTCGGTATCAGTGAGTGCCAAAATATAAATATCGGTACTCGTACTCGATACCGAAAACCCGGTATCAGTGCATCCCTGCACACAAATACACTGTCGGGGGGTGTGAAGGAGGGCTGCCACTCTGAATACCAATAAATGGTAGAGGTAAGCAAGAGCTTGCAAAACACAAGCAATCATTTTTACATGAGAAT